GATGGAAATATTGAATTTTGCATAAACTTCATTTAGATGTTCGACAGGTTTTTCTGTCTAGAATATTTCTTCCTACAAAAAAAAAATGCAAAACTTCATCAGAAAATTTATTTTTACATAAGTCTTCTGGGTAACCTTTTGCCAGAATCTCAGCTTTTAAACCTAGTTTTTTGTCTGTTTGAGATTTCTGTGAAGACCGAAGGAAGAAAAACTTGTTACATTTCCCTCTTATTACTTTAAATCTTGATCTCATTTGAATAGTCAAATTGTCGTATGCAACATTTTAGACATTACACTCAAAGTTTTTTAATGCTTCCTCGTGGTTGTGACTAGCAGTTTCATCGGGGAAAACATTCTCTTTTTTTACATTATCTTTACAGCAAACATAATTTCACTAAATTTCAAGATCTTTGCAACTTCTGTTACCTCTAGAAGGTATAATAAGGTCCCAAGACAAACGGATTCGATCCAGATTTGTCAAAAGGCTGATTCCGAATCTTTACTACATCATTGAGAGTGAGTTGAGAGGATTGAAGCCGAAGACTCACATTGTTAACTACTTAACTTCTATCAAAATGTAAACCAAGAAGTAGTGAAAACGAAAGAGTCAAAAAATTTGTCTATTTAATTAGGTATTGCACTTCATTAATACTTTCACCAAGTAGGTGTAACTCTTTTGGACAACGCAATGATATGAAGATCTTTTTTGCTAGTGGCTTGACTGCTTTAATCCATAAGCTCCATTGTGTAATAGAAATCTTGTTTAATGATTGGCCTGTCTTCTCCTAAAGAATTTTTCAACGAACTGGGCTACAACTGAACGAATTGTATAGGTTTTGAATATTTCCTAAATAGGATTCCGCAGAAGTTGAAGATTTAATAACATATACTGCACATAAGCTCAAACTGTGAGTAGAGCAAGTAATGAAAATTACTTGTTGATTATTATTCCTAATCCAATCTTGAACTCCATTGTAAATACCTGCCACACTAGTGCCATTGTCGTAGCTTTGACCACAACAAGCTTTTTTGTTAAACTCAATCTCTTCGAACTCATTTAATATCAACTTTTTTATATCAGATCTTTTCTTCTTTTCAAGTAATTCTAGTTTAAGGAACCTTTCTTTGACCTTTTCACAGATGTTTGTTACTGAAATGCAAAAGACGAAAAATGAAAGTAATTTGACCGCTGTGGGACGAATTGGGAGTGCTGTCTGTGACGATGGTTGAACATATGAATTTTTTGATTTCTTGAATAACTTCTAAACCCGTTATACTCGATCAATTCATTCTGCAAATTTCAGGATAAGTAATAAGCATGCATACGCTTTCCTTTTTCTTGTTCCATATTTATATCTAAGTAAAACTTATAATTTTGATTTTTAAATTATAATATTAATAATGCAAAATATAATTTAAAATTTAAAAACAATATTCTTATTCCTAAACGCTTGATTTCATGAAAAATTGTAACATCAAGATTATTATAAAGTTACTTTTCATCTCCAATTTTGTTTCATCTCCAAAAGAACTTTTACATGCCGTTAATAAGAAAATAATCTTTACTTTATTAAGAAAACAAGAGGCCAATGAAAACGCGTGCGTTCAAATGGAAAATGAAAACCTTGTAAAGTAATAGTTATCCTATTTTAAATGTTAACAAAGTTTAAAAGAAGAATGAATTATTACACAAAGTTTTCATAAGTTTTGAATATGTTATCAGCTAAATTTTTGTTATCAGCTAAACTTTATTAACTTCAAACCTTTATCTTCAGCAAAAAAGAGAATAAATTGTTTTGCATTTAAAAGAGAAAGCTTTTATAATATAAATACATTAAAAATAGAGATTAAAAAGCAAACAAAATTACATGGATGACATAAGATTCACATAGATTAGACATTCATGGATATGTCTTCCGAATTTCAACAGTCTTACCCTAAATATAAGTCAGGCAATCTTAGTTGGCCCAAGACAGGTTATCCGTTTAAAACAGGGCTGTGGAATCAAAGTTGGAGGTGCGGAGTTTTTTAACGAAGTCGGACTCGCTAAATAAAATCACGACTCCGACTCCAATAGTAAAACTTCTCTGAATTGTATGTGCATGTACAAAGCAAGCAATTAGAACTATATTCATACTTAATCTCAAAGAACGTTTCATAAATTTGTCAAATAATTTTTTTTTTAATTTATTAAGTAATATTTTTTAAAGAATTCAAAGAATTTTTCAAAAATTTTGTTTTTGGAGTTTTAGTCAGAGTCGGAGTTGGAGTCGGAGTTGTACTCAAAAAATTTTAACAACTAGAGTCGGAGTCGGAGTTGTACTTAAAAAAGTTAAACAATTGGAGTTGGAGTCGGAGTCGTTACTATTTTTTCACGATACCCCACCCTTGGTTTAAAATGACGAAAAACAGAAATTATTAGCAATATTTTACCATATTTATTTTTATTTTGTCTAATTAGAATATTGATTTATAGAAAAAAATAATTTTATTTTAAAGTGAGTGATTTTTCGAAAATAACTTTTGGATAAACTTATAACGTAATGTCCATTTTTACATGTGAAACATCCGTACTTATCCAGTACGGCGTTAAAGTTTTTTTATATTAAATGAAGAGATGGCGTTAACCAAACACCATTTTTATACGCCTTGTTGTCAAAGGGACATCGCTGTCTAGATATAAGTAGTATTAAAATTATTTATTTTTTTTAATTTTTAATTTTTAGAGACGAGGTACAATTTTATTGCTGTTTTCAATGCTTCTCAGCAAACATGCTTTCAACGGACCGTGATGCGTTAAGCCCCCGCCGGTGTAGCAAAACAAATTAAATCCCAAAAATATTTGAGTCTCAGTGAAAATAATATAACTCCCCAATTAATCTATTTTGAAACAAATTAACCCCAGCAGTTAAAATATTTTAAAATACGACAAAATGGATTACCTGAGGAATTATATATTTTAAATACCCAGCAAAATAAATTAACCCCTTGGCGTTATAGGTTAGCGTATAATTAAACCCTATAATATTCCTTATCGTCATTACAAAAATGAGTGAGAATTTTATACAGTATCGGAGAAAACAAGTGCAACTAAATAATGCTAATTTAGTTTTTTTTTATATAAAAGTGCTGCATTTTTTTAACTTAGAGAAATAACTATGTAACTGTTTAGAGACAATGTTCTTCACGTTTTATTCATCACTAAATTCATTATATGTACACAAAAATTAATAAGTTAATCAAAAGTATTAATAAAAATTGATTTTTTTCTGGACAAAACAAGTGCAACTCTACAAAATGTTGACCAAGCTGTATTTTGCTATCAATATTTCGTGGCGAATTGTTTGTTGTCGATCACAGCTTTGCATCTTCGAGACATAGTTTCGATCAGGTGATCAATGAAATGTTGTGAATCGCTGCCCAGGCCTTTTGGATTTGTTCAAATAGTTGACCCTTATTACGAACACCTTCACAAATTAATTCTACGGTTGACAATCTCCCACAGGTTCTCGATAGGGTTGAGATCCGGAGATTGAGGCGGCCAATCCATCACCGATACGTGGTTGTCTTGAAACCACTGCTTGACTACATTTGCAGTGTGTTTCGGATCGTTGTCATGCCAAAAAAACCCATTTTATTGGCATATTCCATTCAGCATGAGGTAACAAACATCTTTCAGGATATTTTTATACATGAAACAGTCCATTATTCCATCGATTCGATGTATTAGACCTAGACCGTTAGCAGAAAAACATCGCCAGACCATTACATTGCCTCCACTACACTTCACAGTCTAATGGCAGTAACGTTAATTGAGGCGTTTTCCTGCCGGTCGACGTACACGGTAAATGTCATCGCTCCCAATGATGTTGAACTTCTATTTATCACTGAACAGGACAGCTTCCCATTTCTGCACATTCCAGTCGATATGAGATGTAGCAAACAGGAGTCTTTTTTTCTAGTTCTTTAGTGAATTCAGCAGGTCGTCTGATTGTTCGGTCCGATACAGGCAGCTCTAATTGCTTTTATATCTTAACTGATGATACTCAGGGATCCTTCTTGACGGATCTGACGATGATAGAATCTTCTCTAGAAGTGGTGGAACGCGGTCTTTCACCTTTGTTATCTGCTGCCAATTTCTACAAAGAACGATGTTTGAAACATAGTCTTAACACGGTTCACTTTTTCACGCGATATTTATCACAAATACTTTTTTGTGACATTCCACTTACGTAATTGCCAATAATTTTCTTTCTTAGTTTGAATCCAAGACTGTCGGAAGCCATTTTTGCAAGGAAACTTCGGAAGCCATTTTTGCAAGGAAACTTCTGGATACTTTCTTTAATTATTAAAAAACTTTCGTGACGTTGACTTAAGAAAAGACTTAAGAAAATGAAACAAACCAAAAAAATTGCACTTGTTTTGTTTGCTGTTAAATGGCACTTGTCAATGATATTCTGCCTGTGTGCTGTCACCTGTCAGCTGATTGCTCATGTCATACCATGCTATGACTCCTGACTCCTGAACTGTTTGCTGTGGTAATAAAGTTCGCTTCGTTTTTAAGACAGATAAATTAGGAACACTTTTTAGCATTGTTCGATTTTGGTTGCAAATATTTTGTCCAATACTGTATATAAATATATATATTTTAAATATATAACATTATTTAATGTTTATAAAAGTTATTTTAAAAATTTAACATTTGTCTAAGTATATGGACTGAAATTTTTAACTTGCTCAAATTTTAGGTTGTTATATATATCATTAGAATAAGCATGAGGTTAATATTTCAAAATTTAAAAGATTATTATAATCAAACAATACTTAAAAAAGTTAATATGTTTTACGTTTATAAGTACCAACTTTTATTTTATGGAATGCGTGACCTGAGTGGTTATTTGCTTAAACTGCTATTTTGTAAAAAATCAAATTAACTATTCAATAATATTAAAAATAATAGCCAGTCAATAAAGAATCAAAATCATTATATTTTAGTAGTAGATTTGTGTAATAAGGTATCTGATGCTTTTCAATTAAGAATTCATTTTGTTTTATCTTCACTTTTGAAACTTGTGCTTAGATGATTTACACCAAAACGGCCAATCAAACAAAGCGTCACAAAAAACTAGTTATGTTTTTATCTCTGAACAAAAAAAAATTACTATGCTTTTTTGTTCTACTAAAAAAAATACAGATTCTACCCAGTTAGGCAGCTTACATTTTATGATTTGATAACAATTTCAAGATGACTGACTGCAAATTTGCATTAAATGTCTTCTGTGTTTATTTTGTTTATCTATTTAACAAAAAAGAATTGCACGAAGAAAAAACGAGAATCTGGACAACCCTATACAAATTAAAGAGGGATAAAAGTAGAAGAAAGAAAATCTGTTTTCATAATTGTAATTAAATAAGTAGTTGCTTATAGTGCATATGTTCTTGTTAATATTAGACCAACGTGTCTGATGTAAAGAGAAAAAAATAAACGGAGAAACCAATTAATAGTTTAGAATATAAAATATAGTATCAGTGTCATATTTTTTAAATGGCAGATTTCTATCAAGAAAGTAAGAGTAAAAGATTTTGAACTCTTTAAAGGTACCTTTTTTCCGTGAAACAACTAAAATGTCATTCTAATACGCCACATTTTGTAATATACAAAAATTATCACTCTCCCACTCAACCAGAAATATGTGTAAATATTTTGAAAAAAAGAAGGGCATTACAAAATGGCGCAAAAAAACATTTGCATGAAATAGTCCCAATCTCTAGTCTCTCATTATTAACATCACCAATTCAACTTAGCGTGGAAAAAACTTAAGATATTCAGTCAAAATATTTTATGCTTGCAATTGACTAATTTTTATAAAACATACTTAGAATAAAAAACTTTTTGTGATACTAAAACTAATTTTTTTTTTCAAATAATCTTTGGTTTTAACTATGCGTTGAAATTGTTTGATATTGTTTTATTATAGTCTTTTATTTAATATCCACTTTCATAATGAAAACAGTGGCAGTGTCGTCACTTTGGGGGTAACCACAATACTTGAAGAAACATTTTAAAACATGAGCACTTTAAATGTAGTAACATACTTCAAAATGTTGTCCTAATTACTGTTATTGAAGATATTTTTTTCAAAGAATTCTAACAGGTAACGGAATTCCGGCTGGAACAGGCAAGAAAAGTCAAGTTAACTCATAGGTAATTCCGGTTCCCGCCGGAATTACAATATTTTAGGTCGGAATGCTGTAATTTATTTTTTTACGTTTTTTTAAAGACATGTGAAACTGTGTAAATTAAATTAAAAACCATTGTCCTACAGGGCAATGAAGAGCTTTAGGTAAACCTAGGCAAAAATACAAAATTCTTTGAAAACACAATGTAATTTTATTCGCAGTGATCAATTATGTATGGATTTTTAAAAGTTTATTAAAATTGTGGTGCAAAAAGAGTTGCTATTCAGTTTTGGAAAACAAACTAACTCTTTTGTAATCAAAAATTTTATCTGTTTTTGAAAACTGCCTAATTTTAGATTTTACTTAAATTTTAGATATTTAAAAAGTATAGAATACCTGATACTGTAAATATTTCAATTTTAACCTATATATATATATATATATATATATATATATATATATATATATATATATATATATATATATATATATATATATATATATATATATATATATATATATAAATATATAAATATATATATATATATATATATATATATATATATATATATATATATATATATATATATATATATATATATATATATATATATATATATATATATATATATATATATATATATATATATATATATATATATATATATATATATATATATATATATATAAATTGTTAATCCCAAAATCCCAGGATTTGTCTCTAAAATTTCCCGAAATATATATATATATATATATATATATATATATATATATATATATATATATATATATGTATATATATATATATATATATATATATATATATATATATATATATATGTATATATATATATATATATATATATATATATATATATATATTTATATATATATATTTATATATATATATATATATATATATATATATATATATATATTTTTTTTTTTTTTTTAAGTTTATTTTTTTCAAAGGGGAGTTAATTTAACTATTATTTGAGCTCACTTATTTTTAAAGTTTTTTAGGAGAAACTTTTTTTTGTGTCTGCATTTAGAAATCAATTCTGATTTTTTGTTTAATAAACATTCTTGGTTTGTATGTGTAATTATTTCAAATTTTTCTTGTAGACATAGTATGCAGTTTTTGGAAATATTGTTATATGCAGGCTCTGTTTTAAGGATGGAGCAATTCAGTGTAAAATCATCAATATTTTTATCTTTTAATTCCCATATATATTTTGACAGCATGGTGTCTTTTGAATACTTTTTATTTTTAAAAGATTGCTTATGATTGGCAAAACGTTTTTTCCATTCACCTTCTGTTATGCCAATATATTATATTCCACATTTTCAGAAGAAATTGTCTACCCACCTAGAGATGATAGTATTAACAGATCATTTGGATATAAAGGTCATCAAAAAATAATTTCTCTCCTTGTTGAAATAGCTTTAAATGTTGTTGAAATGTTTCCATTAGACTATATGCATCTTGTATGTTTAGGAACTGTTCGTAGACTAATACCTTTTTTAAAAAATGGTCCGTGTGGAAAAATATCTGCATGTCAAATAAGTGAAGTTTCAACTTTACTATTAACATTTAATGCATACATGCCCAGCGAATTAGCTCATCGCCTCCTTGGCCTTCAAGATATGGACTGATGGAAAGCAACAGAGTTTCGACAGTTTATTTTATACTCTGGCCCAGTTGTTTTGCGTTCAATTTTGTCAAATATTGCATATAATCATTTTTTGGCATTAAGTGTTTCCGTAAGTATTCTATTACAGGACAATGACAAAATACGTTTACAATATTTAGAATATGCTCGTGAACTTATCAAACATTTTGTATATAATTGCAAATACATTTATGGACCCACATTCACTGTTTATAACATTCATCATCTGCTACATTTACCAGGTGACTGTTTATATCATAATTGCTCATTGGATTTAATATCATATTTTAAATATGAAATTAGAAATTCTGCTAATCCAATTGCTCAAGTGGCAAAGCGACAAGCTGAATTTCAAAATGCTTTTGTATCATTACCTAAGAAAACTTTGTATACCAAGATATCAAATAGAAGTAAAGATAATTATTTTTCTATTCAAGGTAATGATGTGGCTTTTGTAAAAGAATACATAGATAGTGATTCCTTTTTGTTCGATGTTGTCAAGGCAAGGCACCTAGACAATTTTTATGATTTTCCAATGAACTCATTAGAGTTGAATATTGCAATCTTTCCTAATCGAAATAAAAGAAAACTAAAAAGGCAAATTCTTCAAAAAGATGATTTCCTTAAAAAGTGCGTCTGTCTACCGGAACAGCGTAGTTTTGCAATTTTTCCATTCCTGCATGAAAATGAAAGAGTTTAGACTTTGTTTTTGTTTATTATATTTTCATACATTTGTTGTTTTTGAACAAAAAAAATTCCTGTTATTTCACATATAAATAATATTTTAAAGGAATATAATTTTTTACTTTATATTTTTATTACTATTTATGTGTGTCAGAAATATTTTTAAGTTTGTTATTGTTTTATTAGATTATATCTTTTTAAAATTAAAATTAGAAATCTGATCACTTTCTACTTAACATTATTTAAGATAAAATAAAATTTGAATCCACTTAAGATCTTGTGAGTTAACTTGATTGACTTTTTAGTTTTTTAGTCCTAGTTAACTTTTAATATATGTAAAAAATGATTTTTTCCTTCCAATTTGATTTTTTTTTAAATTTCCAACTTGAGTTTTTATAATTTCTAAATCTAAATATCTAAATATATCAAAAATCTAAACATATCATTGTAAATATACTTATAGCTAGTGTAGTAAGTACTTATGGCTTGGTGTCGAGCTATATGGCAAGAACATGAACTTGAAGAAGAAGGTGATATTCCATCATGTTGGGTAGATAGTGAGTTTGTGTATTGGCCATCAAAAATGAATGTTTTATCTGCTGCAAAGGAACATGCTAAGCCTGATGCAACTTGGCATAAGTTCAAAATACTGAAAGTGAAGTGCTATGATGTCAAGTGATGCTTTTTTAAATTACATTTTAAATGTATTAAGATACAAATGTGTTTATTTTCAATATATTGTTTATTTTATTTTAGATGATAAGGAGTTATGTAAAAGTTATGAGTTTTCGTCGAATGACGAAGTACAAGCACTTAATAAGAATGAACCCATTATAAAAGAGAATAAAATAATGAAGTATACTTTAAAAAAAGCAGCAAGTAGCACTAGTAAGATTAATCAAGTTTTTTTTATGTATTGAAAATTGAAAAAAACAACCTATAAGTTGCTTTACTTACAATATTATTTAGATAATTGTTTAGAAATTTTCTATTTTTTGGCATTTCATAAAATAAAGTGTTATAGCCATAATTTTTTTTTAATAAAATTATTGTGTTAGTAACTTATCCTACTCCTTTACAATTTGAAGCTTCTCAAAAAAAATTTGAAGCTCCTCCTAAACGATTCAAGAAATTGGAGGTAACAGACACAGGGGAATCAACTTTAACTTTTCCTTTAAAAGATATGTTAGAAATTTAGCTATTTAGTTTTATTCTATCAAAATACTAAATATTTTTTGTTGATATTAGGATTTATATTTATTATTTGAAAAAATTTGTTTTTTTAGCAACTCCAAAATGTGATGAAAAAGGTATAATTTTTTTTTGTAAATATTGTCTTTTGTTTTATGCAAATTAAATGGTATTAGATTTTATTATTTAGTAACAAAAAAAGTTTTAATATGTAGTCATTTATTGGCATGATTTTTTTTATATCAGTATTTTATTTTTAGTTAAAAATGAGTTATACGAAAGTTTTAAACTTTCCTCAAATAATGAGATAGAGTTTAAAATTGAACAATGAAATAAAAATAATCAAATTATAAATGCTTATGCAAAGAAAGCTAGCAACACCTGTAAGAGAAATATTTTATTCATTCTTTCAACGTTATTTAATTTAAAAACTTGTGTTTCAGAATGTTTTTTTTTAAATAAGCTTATTTATTATTAACAATTTAATTTTATGCAATTGCCTGATATATTTTTTTAGTAACAACTTCTCTATTTCATCCAACTCCTCCAAAGTTTGAAAATCCATTAATAGATGTTCTTTCCCCCCCCAAAAAAAAAAAAATTAAAAAATAAATAAAGATATTAAAGGAGCCGGTCCAAAAATCTTCAAGTTTTTTAAAAGATAAATGTAAGTTTCTTTTTTTTCTGTTGCTGTACTGGACTAAAAAAATTTTTAACATTTAATGCTTTTGTATTTGTTTCTTTATTCTCAAATAAAAGTATGTTAGTTTTGTTTATTACTCCACAAAATAGATCGAAAATCAACTCAGCAAGAAAAGAAGAAGGCTTCAGTTTTTCCTTTAGAAGGAAGTTAGTATATATTGTATGAAAAAAGTGATGTATAAAAATAGCATAAGAAATATAAAGATTTTTAGTTTTAATTTTTTAATTACTTAATATACAGGCTTTCAATATAAAGTCATTCATTTACTGACTGAACTGAAAAATGATGTTGCTGATATAAAAGTCATGTTAAAAAATGAAAATAGTTTTGATCTTCATCAATGTAATTCTATCCAGGAGTTTCATGACTTTGATCAATCACTTCTGGATCAAGATATTGCAAAAAATGTGGTAAATTTTTGTTATTATGTTTAAATGTTTTATTTTGATTTTTGTATATTACAATCATTTGTGTTTATTGAAATTTTAATTATACACAAGTTTCTCACTTTACACATACACACAGGGGTGTAATCTCATGGTTGACTAAGTGAATTAATTCTCAGCTGACCTAAACAAGACAAGAGCAATATTTTAGTTGCTGTAAAGGCGAATGGATAAAAAAACTGAGGTTACACCCCTGACACACAGTTACATAATGTTTGCAAAATGATTAAAACGTTAGTAAATTGCTCATATGCAATATTATACTTGTGGTATCTTATTAATTTAGAAACAGAAATTATCTAACATCGGTGGCTTAACATGTAGTGCTATTGCAAAGGGTATGCTTTCAAAGTAAGTAATTTGAAAAAATTATTTAAAAAGTTTAAAATTATTAAAAAGTTTAAATTATTTAAAAAATTTGAAAAAATTATTTAAAAAATTTGAAAAAATTATTTATAAAATTATTTAAAAAAATTATTTTAAAAAATTATTTTAAAAAATTATTTTAAAAAATTATTTTAAAAAATTATTTTAAAAAATTATTAAAAAAAGTAATTTAAAAAAAGTAAGTAATTTGAAAAAATGAAAAGTGCATTTTTAATGCGTTCACACACACAGACAGACACACACACACACACACACACACACACACACACACACACACACACACACACACACACACACACACACACACACACACACACACACACACACCCTTACATATACATATATATATATATATATATATATATATATATATATATATATATATATATATATATATATATATATATATATATATAATCTTTTCGTTTTAGAGTGATGTCAAATAAAGTTATGAGTTTTTTTAATAGGGCTGGAACAAATAAGCTTAGTTTCAGAAAGACCAATCTGATGAAGATTCTGTGTGGTAGTAAGTTATTATAATTAGCAATTATTGCTTAAGTTAAAAGTTTTGTTAAAGATATTTATTTTTTATGATTTTTGCCTGAAATAATATGAAAGGTATTTATCATTACTTTTACAATATATATATATATATATATATATATATATATATATATATATATATATATATATATATATATATAATATTATATATATATATATATATATATATATAATATATATATATATATATATATATATATATATATAAATATATATATATATATATATATATATATATATATATATATATATATATATATATATATATATATATTATATATAGTATATATATATATATATATATATATATATATATATATATATATATATATATATATATATATATATATATATATATATATATATATATATATATATATATATATATATATATATATATATAGATATATATATATATATATATATATATATATATATATATATATATATATATATATATATATATATATATATATAATATATATATATATATAATATATATATATATATATATATATATATATATACTATATATATATATATATATATATATATATATATATATATATATATATATATATATATATATATATATATATATATATATATATATATATATATATAATATATATATATATATATATATATATATATATATATATATATATATATATATATATATATATATATATATATATATATATATATATATATATATATATATATATATATATATATATATATATATATATATATAATATTATATATATATATATATATATATATATATTATATATATATATATATATATATATATATATATATATATATATATATATATATATATATATATATATATATATATATATATATATATATAATCTATATATCTATATATATATATATATATATATATATATATATATATATATCTATATATATATATATATATATATTATATATATATATATATATATATATATATATATATATATATATATATATAGTATATATATATATATATATATGTATGTATATATATATTGCGTTTAAGACTGTTTACCTGATTCGTACAGCGAAAAAGACCTTCAAAATGCTGTTGGAAGTATTTTAAAACATGCACCTGACAGAAAAGAGGGCGGAGGACGCCAAAAGTCGATTTTTGGATACGAACAAGAGGAAGAATAAGATTTTTAAAAATAATAATATATATAAATTCTTTCCAAAAACAAATTAAAAAGTTCGTACTTATTGTTGTATAAATTTTTATTTTCTTTCCTATTTTTAAGAAATAATGTGAAAACATAAATTTCAACCTAAGGAAATCAAGCAGTTAAGTTATCCAAGAAATAATTGTTGACAACTTACTTACGTTAGTGAATTTGCGTCTTTTAGACGTCCTAAGAGGACGTCTGAATTTCGTCATAAAAAGACGTCATTTAGCGTTGCCATTTAGAACTAATTCTGAACGTCCTAATAAAGTCGCAAAAAGACGTCTTATTTACGTCTTAAAAAGACGTCTTAGTTAAGTCCTAAAAAGACGTCATCTGGCGTTGCCATTTAGAACCGGTCCTGAACGTCCTAAAAGGACGTCTTTTTGACGTCAAATAGACGTCGGCGTGCCTACTGGGCAGTGGGCACAGGACATAAAAAAGACGTCCTTAGGACGTTCAAATCGAGTCCGTCCGTCCCATTAAAATTCTAAACGTCTTTTGAACGTCTTATTCGTGTCCAATAATTTTTTTGTCCAAAAAATATCCAGAATGCTTTATTAAATAAAAAAAAGTCAGTTAAATCACGCGAGCGCTAAAACTTCATAAAATTTTTAAGTAACGCATTTTTAATAAATTTTTTTTCAATTACAAAAGAAGTCTTTTTACAACAACTAATAGACACGTTCCATCTAATTTTTGTTTTTGTTATCAATTGAAAATTGTGGTAATATTGATACAGGTAATGAATTTTTTACAGATGAAAGAAACGGTTACTGAATATATGCTATTTTATGTATATATATATATATATATATATATATATATATATATATATATATATATATATATATATATATATATATATATATATATAAGGTATAACTGTAACAACTATTTTAAACAGTTGCGAAGTGCAATAACATAAGATATTGCACTGTAACAGCTCATTTTGTCTTTTGTTTGTGTTTTAACAAATAGTTTCTGCAAAATCCAGCTCTGTCTAGTTTGTTTTTGAAGTTATTTATTGAAGTAGCTTCTAATATTTCAGATGGTAAGCTGTTCCACGCATTTACAACTCGATTTTGGAAAAAATGATACCTGAAGGTATTTCTGCTAAAAGGCTTCCTCATTTTGATTTTGTGTTGTCGCAGACAAGGACCCTCCTCCAATGCATTTCCACAATCGTTAGCAACCCAATTTATTTTATTGTGGCAATGCTGAATTTTATATTGTTGAATCAGATCTCCACGTAGTCTACGTTCTTCCAGTGACATTAATTGCATAATATTCAACCTAGCCTCATATGATAATTTTTTCCTAATTGTAGGTCCTAGTTTGGTTGCTCTTTTTTGGATTTTCTCAATCTTGTCTATGTCTTGTTTTAAAAATGGAGACCATGCCTGGACCGCAAACTCAAGATGTGGACGTATGAACGTTGTATAGAGCATTTTTACCATGTTTACATCTAAATATTTAAAGCTTCTCTTTATGGTACCTAACATTCTTTTTGCTTTGCTGGTTGCTGAATCAACTTGTGAGTGCCATTTTAAATCGGATTGAACCATTATACCCAAATCACGTTCAGCTTTTGTGTTACACAATGTATAATTGTAATTGCAATCAATATTAGTCATTATAAATGTAGCGTTTGGATTTTTTTAACCAATATGCATAACTTTGCATTTTTCATAATTAAATTTTGTGAGCCAAATAGATGACCTTGCCATTATGTTATTTATATCATTTTGAAGGCTTATTGAATCATTAGGATTTTTTATAATGTTTATTATTTTACTATCATCAGCGTAAAGTTTAATAGGGTTTTTGACTTGATCTGGCAAATCATTAATAAAAATTAAAAACAGCAGTGGTCCTAAAACTGACACCTGTGGTACAACACTAATAACTGGTAGCCAATCTGAGACAATGTCGCCAAGGACCACTCTCTGTTTTCTGTTAGTTAAAAAGTTCTCTATCCATCCCAGATAATTTCTCACAATACCATATGATTGAAGTTTAGTGATCAAACGCAAGTGTGGTACTTGATAAACTATTAGTATAGTATTGCTTTATCAAGAACCAAGTTCTAACAATAAGATTTAGACATCTCATGCAGAATCAAATTTTTCAATAGGAAAACCTGTAAATGATTATAGAACAATTATCCTGATAATTTATTGAATTCAATGTCTTTACTCGACAACATTATGCTATTTTATAATGGAACCAGTACATTAGTTAATGATCTTCTTGAAATATTGCCAAATCAAGGTTTGGAACTTCCCAAAGGTTCAAGGAGAATTTTAAAAGCACCTTATGAAAAGCGACTTATAGACAGGTTCTTGCTAATTTATATATATATTTTTAAACATTTAATTACTTGAGAATCGTATAAATATTGTACATATATTGAAATTAGTACAGATATTGAAATAAATAGTTAAAAACTGGGTATATGATGAACTATATATATATATATATATATATATATATATATATATATATATATATATATATATATATATATATATATTATATATATATATATATAGATATATATATATATATATATATATATATATATATATATATATATATATATATAGTTCATCATATACCCAGTATATGATGAACTATATATATATATATATATAGTTCATCATATATATTAAGTATATACTTGACACTTGATATAGTAATTCAAGTATAATAATTGATATACTATATCAAGAACCAAGTTCTGACTGTTTCACTTAGACATTGCAGAATCTCATGCATAATCATATTTTTCAAAAGGAAAACCTATCAATAATACATGGAGTTTATTGTGATAATTCAATATAATTCAAAATCTTTAATTAACAACTTTTAGACCGTTGTTCTATTTTTTTAAAACCGTTTTGGAACTTCGCTAATAACCAATTACTTAACTTTAGTAATTAGTTATTAGTGAAGTTCAAATGTTTTGACTAAAAAATAAGTTTAATTGAAAAAATTAAACCAGGCATAACAGTTATATAAGAGACAGGAGGGTAGAAAATTTCCTTTACTCTAAAGGAAATTTTCTACCCACCTGTCTCTTATATAACTGTATTAACATATGAATAACCACTATATCACATGTTGGAATGTTATTGGCAATTTACTAAGTAACCGATGAGAAACACTCCTTAATTTCTCTTTTTATATATATATATATATATATATATATATATATATATATATATATATATATATATATATATATATATAAATATATATGTATAAAAGTAATATGGTAATTTATAATAATTTTTTCTGTTTTTATTTTAAATTTATTAAAAAAATAAGATTCTGTTTTCAAATGTAGTTATTTTCTCCTTAATTCTGCTATTTTTTCTTTCAAAAAATTGACTTTTGTGGGCAAATCTTTTTAAATAATAGAAAAATGTCTCCTTAAAATCCTGACTTATAGCGTCAGTTTTAATAATAAAAATACAAAATATATGTCAAATAAAATAAAAATGAGTTTTGCTAAAATTTAAAATTATTAGAATTAGATAAATTTAGAACTATTAGTTATTATTAGTTAAAATGAGTAGAATTTGTAGTATTAGTTAAAATTTAGAAATAGATAGTGTAAAACATCAATTAGATACAATTTAAAGTTGAACAAAAAAATTAAAAAAAAAAATAAATAAAAAATGCTAATGCTAAAAAAAAAAACACTTTTAAGAATATTTTTTACTTTATCCATAAGTTTTATTTACTTGTTAATTAAGATTTTATTTTTAGGAGCGTCAACTACATCAAGTGTCAGTTGATATATACGTTTTGGTCAAATACATGTTTGTATTTGGTAATATCATGTTACATTTTTGTATTGTATTTCAAAATTTCATATTGCATTTATTTAAATATGCATTTAGGAATCTAGAATTGATTAGTTTGTAGTTTTTGTATCTAATTTTGTTTTAAATAAAAGAAATTTTATTTGATTAAATGTATTTAACTCTAAAGTTCATTTTTATTTTTTCCTTCGGTTTTAAAAAAATAGAACAACGGTTTTGGCTATAGTTCATTTTATGTAATGGTTAATGTAATATAGTTTATTTTATGTAATGTGCCTAATGAATTTTTATTATTAAAAACTTCTTTAATTCATTCAGCTCCTCCAAAATTTGAAAGTCTGTGATTCAAAATTTCACTTTTCCCAAAACAAAGTTAAAGAAAATATATGAAGTCAATGATAAATCTTAAAGTTTTACAAAGAATAATGTAAGTAATATTTTTTCTTCTAATAACTATCTTAGAAGTTATTTTAACTATCTAGGTCTTTTATCTTTATAAATTAATTTTTTTAATACTTCTCAATACTCAAAATAGGTACCTAGTCAATTCAGCAAAAAAAAAAGAACCTTTAAGAACTTCCTTTCAAAAGATGTAGTTAGTAATATTTTAAGCTAGTTATATATATATATATCTTCTTCATATCCTGTAACTTCAGGGGTTCTTCAAGGTTCAATCCTTAGCCCTATACTCTTTTTAATTTACATTAACGATCTTCCAGATATTATCACATCTAAGGTGGCATTGTTCGCTGACGACACTACTATTTATTCTTTTCATGATAAGAAGCCTACACTATCTGATTGCTTGGAGGGGATATCTGAGCTTGAAAAGGATCTCACCTCTGCTACAGCATGTGGCTCACAATGGCTGGTGAACTTTATTTCAGATAAAACTCAATTTTTTTCGGCCAATCGTTATCGCAATAATTTAGATCTTCCTATATTTATGAATGGTAATGTACTAGATGAGTCATTTACCCTTCACCTTTATGATTAACTTTTACTTTTGATCATTCTTTTAAACCGTATATCAAATCCATTTCAAAATTAGCATCTGCTAAAGTTGCATCTCTTTATCGAGCTCGACACTTCCTTACTCTAGATTCTATTCTCTATCTCTATAAATCTCAAATCCGTCCCTGTATGGAATACTGTTGCCATATCTGGGGCAGATCTTCTATTGATGCCCTTTCTCTTTTAGACAAGG